CAGTTCCAGACAGTGGATGCCCTTCGTGAAGCCATCTTCAACACTTGGAGCAACGTTCCCACATAGCCTCCTGGAAAAACTGGCATCAAGCATGCCTAAACCATTGTTTGAAGTCATCAACAAGAATGGTGGAGCTACTCATTACGGAGTCCTTTTTTTGACACTTTGATTTCTGTTTTCGTTTTTTTTATTTTTTTATTTTTTTTTTGAGCTATGGTCTTAAAACTTTTGATCAGCTGAAAAAAATCATGTTTGAGTGTAAATGCAGTTTTCAATTAATTCCCCGCTCAAAGGTTTGTGTCTCTTACACTGATTTCTTTTTTTTAACATTGTGAAGCTCTACTTAGAACCTTATAAGATCCAATAGTGCAAAATGCAAATTCTTGCACTTTTTTGACTGATCTTAAGATTTTGATCAGGAGTGTATATAGTATAAATTCCTAGTCTGTGAATCCTGTTCATTGACAATGGCAATAAAACTGACTGATTCTAGTTGGCAGCAGTTAAAAAGTTATGTTTCGCATCTAATTACTATTCTTTACACAAACAAATTTTAACTAATTTGATGCATATTATTTAATTAAATGGTCCTAATTAATTATGGTCTTACCTTTACTTATGAGTGAAGTCTATTTGTCTTCCTTTTGAAATTAACTGCTTCGACTGAAAGTCCAATTTAGAATATTGTTTCAGTTTAGAAAGATAAGCCTCCATTTTAAAATGCTTGAAAAGTAGAAATGATAGCGGTGGCTGCACTTGCTAAATACGAGATTTTAGTTAGCTTTCTTCCTCTGCAGCTGTAAGGAGTAACAATAAGAATGTCCGTGCTCACAAGCGCCCCCTACCGTCACGTGCAAAAAAACTGGCCTCTTGTGTCTTTTCTCAGCTGTTTCAACTGATTTAGCACATTACACAAACACATATTTATATAATAAATATCGACTAAACGGTGGAAAGTCAGGTGCATATTTAAAAAATTTAGAAACATTTTACTGGCGACAAAGAGACAAATTCTGCTCTCTCTGTTTAACGTGCAGGAGGGATTGCGCAATCCAAGTGGAGACGGAGCGAGATTGAAATGATTGCCCAATCTGGAGGCGGAACTTGATTTTTCTCGTCCTGTATTTGAACAGGATATGAGGAAATTCAGCGATTTTGAATAAGAAAAATATTTAAAAGGGTTTATGTTAATTGAAAATGTGTTTATAGTACAAAGCATTGTATAAATGTGACAGTTTAATGTGTTTAATATTGTTTTTTTCTTTTTCTTTTTAATTTCCCTGATTTCCTAGTGACCGCACGTCACTGGGACTCGATTCTCTGGGCTCATTTTCCAGATATTCGCACAAGTGTATACAACACTCATGGC